AAGTGACTTGCTTTATTGAATAATGCAAGGTATACTCTTAATGCATTTCAGATGAGGAGTGGTTAGATAGTTGGTGAATCATATTTGGGGCAAGTTACAGACATCCGCTTGAGGGGCTTTGTTAGAATGGGCATTCTACTGGGCTGATGCCTCTTTTCTTTTGGATTGGTGTCTTGATGTGGAAAGTGAAAATGAATATGTAAGATAACTGTAACAGTATTTTAATAGAACTATAAACTGATTTATTTTTATCATCCCTCTCTTCCCTGTTGGTATTAGTGTTGCGTATATCAGGATGCTGCCATTTGAATGATCTCTTTTGTGACTATGAGCCGAGATGCTGGAATTATTTAAATAATAAATGTTGCTCAGCATCAGTAGCAGAGGCACATCAAACCCAATGTAGTGCTAAACTTTATTTTACAATGCACCAACATGGCAGAGTCAAATCCACACACCTCACTTTGTTTGAACTTGTAGAAGACATCAAATTGTAAGCAGCTGCTCGTATTTTTATCATTGACATTTACATCTGATATAGAGTGGATTTAGCAGTTTGGTTGACTTAACCAGTTTCACGAGGCAAAAATTATCAGAACATTCAGTTCGCTAAATCAAAGGCATCAGACATCTAGTCAACTTCGGGGCATGTTTATGTGTTAAGACATACAGAGTGAGGAGTCGCCATCTTCTGCACCATCTAAGATGGTGTCCACATTGGACCGCTTGCTGTAGGAGTATTAGGAGAGAATAAATGTAGAGGGGAAAGAGAGGAATGTGGAGCATGAGGTTGAGAGGAGAGAAATGGAAGGAGTATAACTAGTGGTGGTTGATACAAGGGTCAGCGTTTTTTTTAATTCATGCATTTCATAGTTAAATAAAAATAATTATATTGGTGACAGTAATTATGTTGGTATTTTGACACAGTTCTTCAATTTATGCTTTTAAATTTATAGTATGATCAACAGACTTTAAAATAGGAAAATAGGGCCCTGTCATAGAATTAATTTCAATGAATATTAGAGTGATTTTTTTTTTTTCCTCTCCATGGTTATGTCACGACTTAGCTGTATTAACTCAAGTACTGTAGTTTAGAAATCGATCTGAGTGCAGTGGTTTAGCTCCCCAGTGAAGGGCACAGTTGTAATGATACAAAAAAAAAAAAGCAGTTCATTTGCTGGAGCGAGGAGTATCTGTGCAACTTTATGCGTGGATGCTGCAGAATGCGTTTGTTGCTTCGAAGTATGCCTGGAGTCAGCCTTCTGACAGTAGGAGCTGGCATACGACAAACTGTTCCTGTGAGGAGCGGCCGAGGGCTCTGGGCCTGTCTGGTTTGGAGCAGAGGAGGCCGAGGGGCGACCTCATGGCTCTCTGCAGCTGCCTGAGGAGGGGACGTGGGGAGGGAGGTGCTGAGCTCTGCTCCTGGGATCCAGGGACAGGACGTCTGGGAATGGTTCAATGCCGCGTCTGTCAGGGGAGGTTCAGACTGGACGTGAGGAAGCGTTTCCTTACCGAGAGGGTGGTCAGACCCTGGGACAGGCTTCCTGGAGAGGAGGTCGATGCCCCAAGCCTGTCGGTGTTTAAGAGGCATTGGGACAGTGCCCTTAACAACACGCTTTAACTTTTGGTCAGCCCTGAATGGGTCAGGCAGTTGGACTAGGTGATCCTTGTAGGGCCCTTCAGACTGAAATAGTCTAGTCTAAAAAGACTAGCCTGTGTGAGAAAGGTGCATGGCATAACTATAAACACAGAAAAACCTCTGGCTGCAGTTGGATTGATGAGTTGAGTTAAAAGCCTAAGAGCCTGTCAAAGGATGTAGCCTGTTCCTTGTTAACTTAACCTGGCATAAAATTCTAACTTTCATTATAAGTGCATTTTTACCTTCCTCCCAGCTTTCCTGTGAAAATAAAACTGATTCTTGCAAAAAACAAACAAACAAACCCCCAAGCAAACCCACAAACCCAAACCAAACACAGGTTCAAACAGTTGTGTCAACCTGAGGTTGCCAAATGCTCTCCCATTGTGCATTCTGCAGCTGACCTTTCTTTTGAGCCTTCCTTCCCGCCTGCCCCGCGGTTTGTTGTCCTCTACCCTAGGCTTATCTAAAAGCATTAGTTCCTCTCCCCAAATTGCTCTTCCTTCTACTTTGTCTCGCAGCTCCTAGCACGCTTTCTTCCTTGCCCCTATCTCCCAGATACTTCTAATGCACTTGCTCTTTTTCCATCACTTCGTCGTTTGCTTTCTGGCAAGGATTTCATGTCCTATCAGCCACTGCGGAATTTGGACCCTCCTCCAGGGATGGGGTTTATGTATGACCAATGAAACCATGTCCATGGATTCTCTACCTAGAAAATGGGAGAATTAGTTTGTTGGTAAAGGGATGCTGTTAACTCGGTGTAGGTCTGAAAATATTACTCTTCTGGAGAAGTCTGGTGTTAAATCTTTCACATTTGAAAGATGTTAAGGAAGACGTTCAGAAAATGGTAACTGCTTGTGTATTCTGAATGTTGAAGGTAATGATACATTGTCTGATAACCAATTTATGTAACATAGTATAATTGTATGGAAGGTAAGAGGACAATAATCCTTTTTTCTTTCCTCTGTAGAGTTCACTTTAAAAAAAAAAGATTGTTGGACTTCTAGCTTGTCTGTTTTTGTCTTCTATCCATCTCTATTTACCAGTTTTCAAAAGGCTTTTCAGAGAAACTTGGCAAGACTGGAGAGCAGTTGTAGTGTACTATAGTGTTGTATTTTTCAGGAGTAAAGTAGGCGAGCTGGGATAGTTCTTGCAGATGAGTGTATTTGCAGGCTGAGGTGTGTATTTGTTATGGAATTGAGTTTTTGAGCAGTTTAGAGGGCATATGGAAGCTAAAAAAGGTAGTAGTTCAAATCCTAATTCTTCAAGCAGCTCTGCAGAGCAAGGATGGACCCCTTTTCCACTTTATTGTAGTTCCATGTTGATAAAGGTGTCTGTGCGAAGTTCCCTATTGATGCAGTGGGTAATAATTATGCAATAGGTGAATTGTACCTCTTTTATTTGGTAGTCAGATATAGGAACACACATCTGAACTTTTTAACACGCTTAATTTAGATTTTTTTCTTTTTAAAAAACGTCTTTTCTGTTAGGTGATGTATTAACTCTTTATCTCTGAGTGAACTGCAGCTATGATTTTAATCTATGTGTCTTCAAAAAAGCTGAATTTAGAATTAGCTAAAAGTCATTTGCTTGACAAAAATATAAGGTATAAAAATACTGTTTGTCAGGTAAAAATATCATGAACCTTGGATGTTTAGTGAAATTTCACATTTGAGAATTTAGAGAAAATTACTCAAAATCCATTTAGTCCGATTTATACGTCATCAATCACTCTTGTATAGAAAAGGCTTTATGGGAGTTGGGGAAGGCTAGGGGGAACGATGTCGTGCAGTTAGTAAATAGGTTGTCAGTGGGACCTTGCCTAGATTTCTGTATTTCAGACCAGCAGCAGACATCATTTTAGTATTAAACTACTGTGATTATAAGGAATATTTCTGGTGTCTCTGATAGTTGGTGTGGATGACTACAGCTCAGAGTCTGATGTGATTATTATACCTTCAGCCCTGGACTTTGTCTCACAAGATGAAATGTTGACGCCTTTGGGAAGACTGGACAAGTACGCTGCAAGTGAGAACATATTTAACAGGTATGCTTTTTAAATGTCTTGTCTGGCTAATGGTATGCAAACTATTCATCTGATTCAAATCTGATTGAAGTTAATTTGCGTGAAATATAAATAATTTTTAAAAACCCAACAACTTTACAAAATTCTTCAGTTTCCACTCTTCCTTCTGTTTGCTGATACTCCCCCTACTTACAGAGAGCAAAATATTCATGATAACAGAAAAACATTTGCTTACCTTTTTAAGCTACTGCAGTTGGTGACTTCTTGAACTTTTTCATTAATTGGACCGCATCCTTGTAGGTTTTTTTTGTGGATGCTAACATTCCTGTTGACACAGGGCTGGAAGATAATAGTAAACTCTATCCATAACTCTGTGTGGAGAGTGACTTTAAGAAAATAACTTCGTGAAAGGTCAGGAGAAGATAATGAACAGCACTGTAGTTTGCCAGAGGAACCCAAGAAGTGTTCTGTAGGATCCTCATCCATATTTTACAGTTTGAGTATTGCTGCTTCTGGTTTTTGAAAAGGAAAAACTGCTGAAAATAGTCTTATTTTACCCAGTTAATACTGTGGTCTGCATTTCCCCCTTTTTATTTCTGTAGTGCCACTGAGCTGATTGTTTCATTTAAAAGCACAGGTATTGTAGCAGTAACTTCAGACAGACCCCCCCTGCACACAGACAGTCTGCAATGGAATGGAGAAATTCAAAACCAGCATTTATTTTAATTGTAATTGTAAGCAGTTACAAGATCACAGAAGTGTATAAAATATATTAAGATTGAGGTTTTATTTTAATGTAGTTTAGTTTGGACTCCAAGTAAATCTTTAATAAAGCATGCTTGCTTTTATGTCGAATTCTTAGTTCAGTAGTATGCAGAAGATAAGTCTATGATCAACAGCCCTGTAGATTAGCCTCTATTTTGTTGTTCATGGCCTGAGTTCTGTAAGGATTTAGCCCTGTGCTTAACTTTAGTCATGTGAAGTGCACTTAAAATTCCATAGTACGTGTATGAACATATACCTGTTTGGAAGGTTTGCATTCTGATTGAACTGAAGCTAACAATTATAGAATGGTTTCTCTTATTATAACCTGCATAAATTAGTTCTGAAATGCCTTATCGTAAAGTTCTCTGTTTTCCTGAAGTCCAAAGTTTGTGGTATTTTACAATTTGAAATGAAATCAGCAATTTGCCAACCTGGAGAGAGTTTTTTTTGTGTTTGACATTTATGGGGAGGGAGGGAAGAGGAGCCTTTAGGGCTGTAGGTGACAATTATGTAATAAAAGCCAGTAGGGCAGAGAACAAACTCAGAAACTCAAGTTGTGTGACTTGAATTTTAAACAAGAATAGTCGTCCTAATATTTTACTTGCCTGTTTAAGAAAAAAACTCTCTGAGTCTCTCAGTATGGATTGCAAGGCGTGTGGGGTGTGCACAAGCTTGAAATCTTTTTGACAATGCTGTCCAACTTTATGCATTCTGTGCTTTTCTGCAGGGGAAGATGAGTAGAGTAACAATAGTTTTCTCTGTTTTTTTTTTGTGTTTGCTTGGTTTCTGTTTTTTTGTTTTGATGTTTTTTTTTCCTTCTGGTATAAATGTGTTGTTTAATCCTAGCTCTTTTTGTAGGCCTACTATGTTATGTAGCATAAGAAAATACAGGAGGTATCACTAATGGCTCTGATGCTGTAACTGTGAGTAGCCGTTATATCACTATAAGTGATAATGAATAACTATTGCAGGCAGTTTATGATGATTCAGCATTAGTCAGTCTCAGGAATAACTGGAGAGATTTTTGCTAGACAGATGAACTGGAGCATTTCATAGGGAAAAGACAAGAATAAACAACTTAAATGTAATGCAATTTATGTCTCTTAGTTTGGTATAGTTGCATCCAATTACTTATGTGTCGTTTAACATTATTTTCTGTTATGATTGAGTTAGTAATGTTTTGGTTGTTTCTGTGACCTTGAACCTGCATTTGTGTGGAAGCTTCAAATTATAGATGCCCAAACCCTTGAAACATATTCATTAAGCCTGGGTAAAATAGGGTAAGATTTTTTTTTTTTTTTTTTTCCCTTTAAATGGATGAATTTGCTTTTAGTGTTGTTGGGGTTTTTTGGGGGGGAGGGGTATGTTTGGTTTTTTAAAAAATATTTAAATTTAAAGTATTATTTCTCTTTGCATTTGTTTTTATTATCAATTTCTATCTGGTTAGTCGTCTACATATGTATCATATTTGCAGTGTGTGATTATATTGAATGATTAAAGTGAAGTGATTTTTAACAGTTACTACAAGAACCTAGTCAGGATGAACTGAAAAAAAGAGAGTGAGATAGAGAATCTCTTAACAGCTTCCCAAATGGTGGAAGGAGTTGCTGTGTGACAATTTTTGGCATGCTATGGTCTATATCCTCATTGTTTTAAGTGTTGCTCGTGAACACCACAGGTGTTGTCTTAGCCTGTGGGAATGGAGGGGAATCTGACAAATACTATAATAAATGACCCCTCTTGTATCTGAAAACCAAGGCAAGTGGGACTCTGGTTATGGTTTTATTAATGAAGAGGCAGCATCCAGACTAGATTTGAGAAACGCTTCTAGCATATGCCTCAATAATCCAATATCATATTGCAGCAAGAGTAGATGCCGAGCAGAAAGCCAAGACCATCACCCTGAAACAAGGTCTCCTTGTGTCTGCTAGCACTGGTGCGTGTGCATGCATGCATGGATGAGGATTCCCTTTTGCTGTTTGCTTTAAAAACCATTTGCTGGTGCAGATTGGAGCATATAGCCTTTGTCTCTTCTAATTTTAAAAATCCTGTGTGGATTTTCCTAAGCTTTATTGCCGTCGACTTGCTTCCATTCCTCATTAAGAAGGCTCAGAACTATACAACACTCACCGTTAGATCTGTTCGAATAGTAAGGTAGTTCGTGAACAACAGGCCCTTCCTTTTGATCAGCCTACTTTTTGAGGAATTGTTGTTGCCCTTTCTCTTCTAACCAAAGCAGATCTTGGCAGCAGACTCCCATTCATCATTACGATCAGTCTTAGCTATCAAGACTATATCGACATACCGATGTAGATGTTTTTAAGCTATCCTCTTGCCATGCTTCGTTGTGTTCTGAAGTACTTTGCTTTTCACTTGGGAGAATATCTGATGTATTCTGAAATACATGTTTGTGGTTCTGGAAAACAGAAGTGTTTAGAAGATAGGCTCTGTTTCAGGAACTGAGAAATCAATTTCTTTCCAAGGAATTAAGGGTAACGATAAATTTTTAGATGTATAAGGGCTTTACCATAAGCCTTTCCAGTTCTTCACTCCCTTTAGTGGAGTCAAGGACATCATTTTACTGTATATTTAAAAACTAGAACTTGCCTGCAGAAGGTACCCCCACTAAAACAGAAGAATGCCATTTTTATCCCTCCGCTGTAATGTGTTTCAAAAACCTCTCTAAGACAGTATGTTTGGTGGGATGTTGAGAATCTTATCAGGACCTTAAGTGTAAGAAATTACCTTGCCTTATTTTCATTTAGGTATGATCAGATTATAACCAACAAGTTAATTGAGAACTTGGTTATCCACTACTGCAGTTTTTTCCTCCCCTTTTCTCCCACTTTCCTTCTGTCTGTGCAGCCTAGCCCCGTGTAAACGTTTGCTTTTTGGTTATTTGTTCAGTGTTGACAATAAGGAAATGCCAGACTCATACCAAAGCCATGCAGGCAAAACTATAGTGGCATTCATTCTGACTAGGACACTTCTCATCATTTTAGGATAAATTAGGTTATTTCTCCTAATCTCTAACTCTCCTTTCCTCTGTTTTCATGTTTCAATCTTTCTGAGCCCACTGTACGTCAGAGAATAAAATTTAGTAAAAATGAAACAAACCTCAAATCACTTCTTTTGCACACAAACTTGCAGATAGGTGCATACCAAATAAATACTGAAGTTTCACAACATAGATTGAGAAAGTTTACCTTGTAAGTGTATACTAAAATGGTATAAGCTGAACTATCAAAGGACAGAATTTTCCCAAAGCACTGAGAGAAGTCTTAATTCAACAGTACTGAATGTATGTCTGTGTATTTAGCCTTTCTTCTGAAGAAGGGTATGAAGATGTTGATTTCAAAATTGGGAGTTTATTCAGAGTATCTTCTGAGATTGTTTGGGGAAAACAGTGCCAAGCTAAGTTACTACTACTGATATTCATTTAAACATGAAATGTCATCAAATCTTGATTTAGAAGTTGTGCAAAATGGCCGAATAAAAAAAAATATTCTTTTTCTTTCTCTTTTTTTTTTCTTTTAATGTATGCTTACTAGCTAAATGCACTCCTTGTGCAGATTAACTCATTTAAATTCTGTAGAAATTTACTGAAGGGCTAATGATGGTGATTATAAGCAGTAATTATACCACTTAGAATTCCTGGTATTGGTTTCAGATAAGGTCAAAGTAGTGTATAGAAGGAGTTTGAATGAGCCAAGCGAAGATATTTATAGCTCTTCTCGGAGTATATTGTCACAAATCCTAATTATGTCCGTGCGTGCAGTCTTGAAAATATCTGTCCCCTGCATGTAGACAGGGTGTTGGTAATCTGTCCGTGTCTTATCCTGCTGCTAATTGCAGTGAAGTGTGCCTACAAGATATCCTAACTATTGGTTTTTCTACCACTGGACAAGCTCTCCCCATGCATGCTCATGAAAACTTGAACTTTGCTAATTATCCTCCACTTCTGCATGTAATAGCTGAAGGGCTTGTACTGCATGCTACATTCTGGCCTTTGACCTCTGCCCTTTCTTTGACCTGTAGCTATTTAATGGATACATAGATGCATTGCTGCTTAGGTGGCAGTCATACGGTGAATAAATCATTTTCTTTGAGAGTTCACAGCTGTAGGGTTATTGATTTGAAGCTTCACTTGCCAGAGCAGCTAGCGAAAGTCTCTTTGGACCTGCAGGAATCGAGTACGAGATCGGACTGAATGGGCAAGAAGATGCAGTCCTATTAATTGTTCCAATGAGGATGACGCTGCTGGCATTGGGAATGTGCAAAGGAGAATTTCTTAGTGGAGCTTGGTATCTCATTAGAGGCAAGCGCTACACAAACCCAAGCCAGTGACAGGAGAGGAATGGCAAGAAAGCATCAATCCTAGTCCCAAATCATGCCCTGATAACTGGGAATAATGTGTAGTAACAGAGCACATGCCATTGAAATCACTTACATTGTCATCATTAATGTTGGTGGAGTCATTTCTGTCACATATGTGCTTGAAGTATTCTGATTCCCTGTTAGAATGCAGTTTATGGGGACGTGCTGTCATTATCCCTAAAGGAAACCTCCTCCTCCTCTTTTTCCCTGTCACAGGAAGTATCTCCTTGCCTCTTGAGCATGAAGCATGTCCACCTATTTTTGTTGTTTGGTCTGTGTCTTGACCAGACAGGTCATCCTTCAGAGCTCTGTTACAGTTTCACAAATGCTTGCCTGGTACTCACCTGGCAAGTCGCTTGGCAAGCTACCGCTTGCCTTATGTTATACTGCGATGCATTGATAGTTCATTGCAGTCCTCTGTTGTAGGCTTTTTGTAGCTCGACCGCCAGTGCTTGTGTGAGAAGGAAGGTCAGACTGCTAGACAGGGCACCAGGGACCCTTGCTTACTCTCTACTCTCCCATAAGCAGAGCACATTAAAGTGTGAGCTTGCAGGGCCCAAGTCATTCTGCATTAGTTGCCTGCATGCTAGCTCTCAGCCTGTGGCAAATGCGAGGTAGGTTTAGCTCTGTCCTGTGTTTGCGCCTTGGAGGCAGAAGAATAATTTTGGCAGATTGTTGGGGATAGTGGCAGAACTACATCAGTGCCCGTAACGTTTGGAAGACATGAGTGGATGTCATCTCCCAGAACACTGGATGGATGGAGTTAAGAGATTACCCCATCATTACTGGCTGCCTACCCAGTTAGATTTTTCTAAAGTGAGCTTAGTTTGCCCTGTTGTCTTTTGTTGTAATGCTTTTGACCAGAATCTGCTAAATGTAAAAGTAAATCCATTGATTCCTTTACAAGCCAAAGAGGGAAATACCACCCAGATGCAGGTGGGGGCCATCTTCTACGTTTAGTCCAGAGAAAAAGTTGAATGTCCCTTCTTAGCTTTGAGTGGATTTAATAAATAAGTCTTATCTACTTCAGGTTAGGATTTGTGTTTTCATCTCCTCCTCTTGAGCAGAAGGTTTGTGGCCTTCAGCTTACAGCTTATACTTCTGTGTAGCCATCTGTCCAACTCGCAGGAACTAGCAAAGGCTTACTGTGGGATCTGGCCACCACAGTTGAGGATGCTGCTAACAAAGCTCTATGAGGAGACAAGAGTCTTGTCAAAACTCCAAGCATAGTAGGAGGCCATTCCATAGTCCCCAGGACCCAGATGGGATGTAGTGCTGTTTGTTGTGGTTCCTTACTTGCTGAGACCAGCTCAGTGAGTCAGTTGACTTGTCTCTCACTTTCCAAGATTATGTTTAATATGTAGGAGACACATGCATCCAGGCAGGCTGGGTTATGAAATACGCTTCATCTGTTCCTCTTCTCTTTTCAGAGGTGTCCAGCCCTTTAAAAGACCGAGTCAACTCTGCTTCTAGGTTAGTGTGTCATGTAGTCTGTTTCCGTCCATTAGGATTTTGGTAGCTGAACTTCCAATTGCGTATCAAGATCTCTGCTGGGAGATGTTGCACTTCTGCCATGTTGAAAAGAGTGAAGGAGAGGAAATTTGTTAAAGGCAAAGAGTTTTTTGAAGTTTGTTTTTTAGAGAGTTTTGTTCATCTGTAATCCAAAACAGTTTAGTTTAAGATAGTTTTGCAAGTGGACAGTGTGAAACATTTAAATTATTGATTTTCAGTTTGAGGAAACAGAAGTATCTGCTTAGCTTTGGGAATTCATGGATACCTACTGCGTTTCTCCAGTTGCATGGAATTGTAAAGTTCTCAAGCTTCCCCTGTACACTAGGAATGTAACCGTCTGTTTCTTACCAGTTTGTGACCATTGCTCCCATTCACTGTTTGTAGTGAACATGATCAAGTTTAGCTATGCTTCTGCTCTTATCTACAGCACTGCTGTTTGTCAACAGTGCTTCTATCTAGGCCACATCCTAACAGTGTTTCCGTCAGTCAGTTGTGGAAATATCTGTCACTTGACACTTTCTGCTTCAGCATTTTGATAACTTGCTCTGGGGCAGTACAAGAGCTAGCAGCGTGTTGGACACTATTCCTTGGCCCATTCTGCTGTTGGGATCATCCTGCTAGCTCTCTGAACTGATGTTCAACCCACGTTGCCCAAAAGGGTGAAAAAAGAGTCATACCATTGCAGGCTGTTGTTAATGAGAAAGGTTGATTACCACACATTGCCAGCTGCATTGTTTAAAAACTCAATGTTTAGGGCTCTACAGGTAACTGATGGGTATGACTTTGTAACATAGGTTGCAAGGGAATGTTAGAGGACAAAAACCCAAATTTGACAATGTCTTGTCACTGACAAATTATCATTTCTTGAGCCTTAGAAGTAGTACTTGAGTTGATTCTGACTTGTTTACTATTTTCTTAATGTTTCATTTTCTACTTTGCTTAATGTACATCCCAGGCACACATGGGCTAGTAGACTTTCTTTTCACGGTATATACCCATTGCTCTGTATAGCATTTGAATGAAGTTCAGCTTCTAAATGTCACTCGGTATGGAAATCTTCAGCTTGAGTGTTCATGTTTTTGTGAAATAAGTTCATAATTCTGTTTGAAACCGTTCTGACAATAGTGGTGTTGTCTTGCTTTGTATGGAACAAGTTAGGGAATTCAGAGGTGAGGATGGAAGGCTGACACTGACTTCCTAAACATTCAGCTCCTGTTTGCCCACTTGACAGATGACTACTGTTTTTTTATCTTTGTGGCTGGTTTCTCTTGTCCTTGTAAAACCAAAGGGATACTTTCAGTGTTACATTTAAAGTTATCTGCTCTTTAAGATTATGCCAGGTATCAGAATCAAGAATTCCCAAAGCAGGACTAAGTAAATTTACTGAGTTAAATGTGAATCTGTGTAGAATTTTACTGTTTGATTTAAGAAACTTGCATGATTGCACAACTTTTTGGCTGTGTATCTGAACACAAATAATGCTAATTTTTAATCTTTCTTGTAAACTAGGCAAATGGTGGCTCGAAGTTTGCTGGACACTTTGAAAGAAGTCAGTGATGATGAGAGAGACTGTATTGCTGTGTTGGAGAGAATCAGCAGATTAGCTGATGATTCAGGTAGGTAGCATTAAACATTTTACTGGGTTATTGAGGGAAAGTCAGAAATGTTGAACCTGTTTTCAGCACAGAGCTGATTTGCTCTTTCTCATCTTCAATATTCAAACTACACTTCTGCAAATGTAATAAAATACTGTAAAATTTCATTTCACTAAATCATCCCCCCAAAGATGAGTTTTTCCTTACTATTTTCCTCAACAGAATTAAGCCCCTTCAAAATGTAGGATTACCGCTTTCCATCAGTACATTTTTGCATAACATTTGTTATGTACTTCGGCTACTCAGCAGATCTACGTGATTATTTTAGATTCGTAGACAAAGATTAATTTCTTGCCTTGAAAAGAATTTTGCAAAACATCTGTGCAAAACTCCCATTAGTTTTGATAGATTTTAAATGCTGACGTTGTTCCCTTGGTCCCTTTTGGGCAACCATTTGTGAAGATAAGAGGCAGCAGGAACTGGTGAGCAAGATGCAGATATAAGTAATGAGTAGAAGGGCTCTGTAGATACAGAGGGGCTTTTGCTTATGAATGTATTGAGACTATGTCTTGGAATAAAAGGCAGAAGCAGGAGAATAGTAAAAAACAGATGTGAAAGAAAAGGAGTGCTTAAAAAGTGTTGGGGGAGTGGAAAATGGTGTGAACAGAGCTGCAACAAAATTCCAGGCTGAAGGTGCTCTAGAAGGAATTAACATAGATTTCGACATAGCTGATACAGTTGAAGCACCAGAAGGAAGAAGGAAGGCTTTAGCAGCAAAACATCAGAGAAGATCTGAAGTTCATTCTTTTGTCATTGTAGGAGTGCTATGGAGAGAAACTTGTATTAAATCTGGTATGAGAAGAAATGTTTCTTCTGTTTGTTGTCTGTTAGTTTTTCTCCTTCTTCCGGAATTGCAGGACATAATGCTTTCCAAGGGTAAAAAGGTATTCTGCTCATTTCTGTTATTCTGTCATTACTGTCTTTGTTTAAAATGCATGTTTTTGTTTTTCTGAGGGAATGTCCTTGTTTAGCCAGGAATAATAGCCTGTTGTAGGCATTACATAATTGTATTGAGTACCTCTCCACGGATTCCTTAAGAGGAAAAAAAAGTCACTATTCATTTAAGATTAAATGTGTCATTAATTGAGAACAGTGGTGTGCTACTGTTTCTAGAGTGCTTTCCTAGCAAAGCTCTGCTTCTGAAATCTGTATATACAGTGCTTGTTTGTGTGATCACGTTGACAGTTTTGAGCATCAGAAATTTTCTGAACCTTCATTTCACGTTTGGAAAATAGGACAGATGTGTGCAGGGAAAAATGACCTTGTGCAGCAGCTTTGTAGCCTTAGGCTTGTCACGGGTGACCAACTGAGTGTGTCAAATTGAAGTCGGTTTGGGTGGAAATGTAATGGAAGCCAAGAGTTGAGCTCAAATCAATTTGTTTCCTTTAACAAGGGTGGAGTACATTCTTAAGTCAGGGTTGATATTTTCTCAGGGTCAGTAAAAGCAGCATTTCAGGCTTTTCCTGAGTAGTAGAAGCTGTCTCAGATCTGCCAAACTAGTAGCACTGGATTCTGCAGCTGCCCCACAAATCAAATTTCTGCAAACTTAACTGTGAGTTTCGTGCCTTGAGCAGTTGCAGTATTGGACTTGGCCTGTTTCTGTAAGACAAATTATTAGAATATCTTTGTGTCTTAAACCATGTGAAAATTCATTAGGGAACTAGATCTGCTTTGTACCTTTTTAATATATGTGCTTGACTGTTACTCAAACTGCAGGACAGTGGTTTTTGTTCACTTTTTGTTTTGGGGTTTTGTTTTGTTGATTTTTTTTTTTTTTAAGGTTGCTATTACTAGACTTGTTTTTCATTTTTCTCTGATGCTTTTTTCCATTTATGATGTTTTCTTCCAATTTGTTCTGTAAAACAAACAAAAAAAACCCCTGAATTTGGAATAAGGAAACATTATAAAACTATCTGTGCATTTTGGCTTGCTTGGCTAGAGGCACATATCTGTATGGTTAGAGCCATCCTGGAGTCAAGCCTTCATGTTTAAATGCATAAATAAATAAACATAAAAACAAACTGTTGGGAAGTCAAACTAAACTGTGTACAGGTCTTCTTGTTTCTAATAGGTGATACTCATTAGTCTTATGCCTTTTTTTTTTTTTTTAACATTTGGAGGTATTTGAATTCCCTTGTCAAATCAAGTCACCGAAAGCGAGGTACTTTTTTTTTCGCAGTAGTTTGTATAATGAGGTTTGAATTGCAGAATGTAGCTGGGGTACACAATATCCATGCTCTCTTTGTGTTACTGCTGGTGTTACCTACAATATAGGTACAGCAGTGAACTAGGAATACCAGCTGTCCTGAAGCTGCCTAAGCAGTCCTCTGTCCTGGTAATAACCTTGCAACTTCACAAGTCCTGTAGTTGGGCTGATGTTTTTCAGATGTGGTCTTTGCTTGAAAAGGAAACAGGTTTATGTTTTTCTTAGGGTTGGATTTGTTTTGGTGTTGTGTGGTGTTTGTTGGTTTTTTTTAATTTGTTTTGTGTAGGGTCTTTTTTTTTAGCATGCGCTGGTTGGTTGGTTTGGTTTTTTTTTTAATAAGCTGAGGCTGCAATGAGACAGCCATTTCTGTGTTTGAAAGCAAGAGAATTTCAAGACAATAATTATTTTTATTGTTCATGTACTGTGATAACACTTTAAGAAGCTTAATGTTATCTCTGTTTTGCTAAACAGTGCATTAATGTGAAATAAAAACTAATCTTTACTAGAAAAAAGATCTGGGTCCAAATATATGATTGTAGGATGGAAGGCACAAAAAATCATGAGGCTATGGTTTGGTATGAGTGACACGGATCTTGATGTACCAACTGGCTAGCCAAAACCTACATTTTTTGAGGCATCATGGCAAAGGCAAATATCAGTTCTAAAACTATTTTTAAAAAAAGATTGACAAAAATTTCTCAAAGAAATAGCTTTTAGTGGGAACTCAGTTGGACTCTTTGAGTAGTGTCTTATTAACATTACTAATTTATGGGAGTTTCTTGGGGGGGCGGGGGGCAGAGAATGAAGTATTGGCTATACCTAAAGAAAGCTAAGTGATGTTTTAACATCTGTCAACAACCAGCATACGGGTTGCGAGTGGACAGACAGTGAGTTGTAGTGAAATGTATTTTGTGAAGGAGAATTCTGGCTACTGTTGCCCAACTGCACATACAACTGATACAAAGCGAGTCTTCTCCTGACAGGGCGATTTGGACTCTTTCTAATGAATTAGTTCCAGGTTACATGTGGTTTTTCAGCCTTAAGATCACTAGCATGTTTCTACTGGGGAAAAAATACCCACTTCAGGTGATATGGGAAAGGAGCTGCTACCAGTGCTGATGGAACACGGGCATTGCTGTGCCCTGCTGTCGCATCCTGCTGTATGGAGCACAGAGTGGCCGTTCCAGTGGGGGAAACCCGTTAGGGGCAGTTGGGGAATAATATGCTGCCTCCAGCCCCCTTACTTGCTGAATTAACTTTTTCTCCAAATCTCAGTTGTTTGGAAGGCTTATTTTCTTCAGTGTTTGTCTTCATTGCTGTAGCTGGGTGTTACTGCTAAGTCTGTGATTTTGCTGTGGGGTTTGTGTTTTTTTCAGTCCTTCTGAACTCTGGACTTCCCTACTGTCTTTGGTAGTGAGTTCCCTAGAGTAGTTACAACTGAGATAACCTTGTATTGCTTTCAAATCTGCTGTTTCAGCACTTTGTAGTTTCTCTGCTTCTTGAGGGATCTTAGGTATGGCTTCCCACTTAGAAGTGTTTATGGTGTCTTTGAACCTATAGAAGCCAAGAAGCAGTTTGGCATAGAAGCTCAGTGTTTGGCAAATGTTAATTTCCCTGTTAGAGGTAAAATGCTTATCTTTGTGTTAAAACAGCTTGGCCTTCTTCATTCTCAAATGTAGACTAGGCACAGACTTATGTGAGCTTGAACAAGGGCCTTATGTCTGTCTTTTTCACTTGAGTAAATCAGTATCATTCAAACTTTTTTTTTTGATACCAGCTTGTGAATTGCTTATATGATACAAGGCTTCCTCATTGTGCTCACAAATACAACTAACTGGCTTTGAAAGTTAGCCTCAGCCAGAATTATTGCATCCTTGGCATTCTGCTCAGTGTGCTTGCAAGGGGCACCAGAAGCTTTGAAACTTATTTTCTGCAGGTTCTTTTAGAGGGAGAGTCTGTATCTTCATTTCTAAAATACAGGTGGTATTTTAGTGTACTATGACACAGATACATATAGGTATCTTTCTAAAGAAATGATGGGGAAAGAGAAAGTGACTTCCTGGAGGATTGGTGCTCATTTGTTTGAATATAACCAACTAGAATTTTTTTTTCTCCCGAATGAAAAGTAGCCTCTTTACTGCATAGAATCAGTTGTGAATGCAGTTTGTAAAACAAACTGATTTTAAAACCAATTAGACTAATTTGTCATTAAGTTTTGAAGCTGTATAATCAGGCTTAAAGTGGATGGCCTCACAACCTTAATTACTTAATAGCGTGCTTAACCTATGTTAGTGCTTAACCTATGCTAGTAAGTCCAATTACTGCTGTTGGTGTAGTGAGAGATGCCAACAATACCTGTCGAATAGCACGTGTTATAGCATTTCATTTAACAAAATCTTCATATGTAAGCAATATTAATGGCAATGCTAATATTTGCCTTTCCCAGCTGTCAGTAGCTCCACTTGTGTTTTCTCCTCTCCTGCATCTTCGTGTTTCAGGATTTTCCATACCTCCTCTCCCACACTAAGAACTTTTTCCTTTGCTTGATGTGATCTCTTTTATCTCTCTATGCATCTGATGAATGACTAACGGTGACTTTACCCTCTCTCTTTACTCTGTATTTCGCTCCTCCTTCTGCCAGTCAGTAATGAAGTCTGTGTCTAGTTAGTAAGAGGAAAGAACCTGACTACTGAAGCGGCACGCACATCAGACACGTCAGTCTTTCTGATGGACTCCTAAGCTAAAAGGGACAGGC